TAATTTGGGAAGTGGGGTGTTACATATAGCACATAGACATGTGCTATATTAGTTAAGAAGGAAGCTTGATGACAAGTCGAATCAGATGATCTTGAATAGGATATCATTCGATTGGAGGTTACAAGTTGTTCGACCCAGTGAATAAGCAGGTAGTGATCAGCAGAGACGTGATCATAGATGAGCTTAAAGAATGGGATTTGAATGAGAACGTCAAGAAGGATTCAGTAAGAATCTCTTGTGAAGCAGGCCCAAGCAGACCTCGACGAACAAGACACATGTCTGCAAGGTTGCAAGAATGTATGATTACATCAGATGATGTGGTCGATGAAGAAGGTGAGCTGGTACATTATGCTTTCTACCCAGATGTCGAACCAGTCAATGCAGTTGAGGCATTGAAAGATTCGAAGTGGGTGAAAGAAATGAATGAGGAGTTAGACTCCGTCGAAGTTAACAACACTTGGTAACTTGTCGAATTGCCTCAAGGCAAGAAGGCAATTTACGTGAAATGGGTTAACAAGGTGAAGGTGAATCCTAAAGAAGAAGTAACTCGACACAAGGCGAGCGGCGAAAGGATTTCTTCAGAAGGAAGGAATCAACTTCGACAAAGTTTTTGCACCTGTTGCTAGGATCAAAACAGTCAGATTGGTTGTTGGTCTAGCAAATATGAATAATTGGCACACATGTCAGATGGACGTGAAGTGTGCATTCCTCAATGGCCCCTTAGACGAAGAAGTTTATGTTGCACAACCAACTAGGTTTGTGAAACAAGGTGAAGAAAGAAAGGTGTACATGCTGCATAAAGCCCTGTATGGACTTAAGCAAGCTCCAAGAGCTTGGAATAAGAAAATTGACAACTTCCTAAGGGAGAAGGAATTTATGAAGTGTAGACTGAGCATGAAGTGTATGTAAGAAGAAGCAGTAGTGAACTGCTTATACTATGCTTCTATGTCGATGACCTATTGATAACAATAAGTTGCAAGAAGGAGATCAAAGACTTCAAATATAACTTGAGTGAGGAGTTTGAAATTTCAGACTTGAGAAATCTCTCATATTTCCTTGGCATCAAATCCTACAAGAATAGTAGAGGGTTAATGATGCACCAAAGAAGATATGGAGGTGAAATACTCAAGAGATTTGAGATGCAAGATTGCAACCCAACTTCGACTCTAGAAAAGACCAGATTGCAACTGTCGAAGGATTCAGTTGAAGATGATGTCGACCCAACCCAATATAGAAGACTTATTGGGTCACTTTGATACCTTTGTCACACAAGGCCTGACTTAGCATACAATGTAGGTATGGTAAGTAGATTTGTGTAGAAGCCAAAGATATCACACCTAGCAGCGGCGAAGAGGATACTGAGGTATCTGAAAGGGACTCTCAACTATAGCATTTTGTTTCCTACAACTGATGAAGGAAAATAGTGCAAGTTAGTGGGATACACTGACTCTAGTTGGTGTAGCGATGCTGAGGATAGAAAATCCACAGCTGGCTATGTGTTTATGTTAGGTGGTGCACCAGTTGCTTAGAGTTCGAGAAAGAAGCCAGTAATGGCATTGTCATCATGCAAAGCAGAATATATAACAGCTTCTCTTTGTGTATGTCAAGCAACCCAGATGGTGAACCTGGTCGAAGAGATCACAGTGAAGAGTCATGGAGCAATTATCATGAAGATCGACAACATGTCAGCTATCAACTTAGCGAAGAATCCATTAGCACACGGTCGAAGCAAGCACACGAAATGAGGTTTCATTATCTTCGAGAGCAGGTAGCAGAAAGGAAGATGAATTTGGAACACTATAAAACTGAGAATCAGATTGTAGACATCATGACGAAGGGAATGGCAGTCAAAGTGTTTAGAAGGCTAGGGTTTATGATGAATGTAGATAGCTTAGACACAATAATTTATGTGTTGTGTTGAGTTTGTAATTCCTTATGTCGAAGCAGTGTAGCTCGACAAAAACAAGGATTAGTTAAATTAGCCTAATGTGTTAGTGTGTTGAGTTGCTTAGTGTGTCAAAGTGTCGAAGTAGGTTGCTTCACACAGGATTTTGACTTAGGTCTATTTTAGTAATGTTAGCTATTTTGGGCTTTCATAGTTTTGGGCTTTGTCTTGGGGTTCAAGCAAATATAAATCTATAAATAAGGAGAAACCCTTATTTTGTAAACAACTCATCATTTTTTGTAATTCACAATTTGCAGTTGCAAGTGAAATAACAGAATTTCCACAGATTGTGGGCAAAGGGTTCTCTGCAGAAAATTGTCCATCTTCTTCTTCTCCAATATTTACTTGCTTTCTTTCTTTCTTTCTTTCTAAAATTTTCTTTCATTGTTATTACGCAACTGGGAACAATCTTGAGATCAAGATTGATTGAGTGAAATTCTCCATAGGTTGTGGTTGAATTTCCAACATCTGGTATCTAGAGCTCTGTTGCTAGGATCAAAACAATCAGATTGGTTGTTGGTCTAGCAAATATGAACAATTGGCACACACATCAGATGGACGTGAAGTGTGCATTCCTTAATAGCCCTTTAGACGAAGAAGTTTATATTGCACAACTAGTTGGGTTTGTGAAACGAGGTGAAGAAAGAAAGGTGTACAGGCTGCATAAAGCCCTGTATGGACTTAAGGAAGCTCAAAGAGCTTGGAATAAGAAAATCGACAGTTTCTTAAGGGAGAAGGAATTTGTGAAGTGTACGACTGAGAATGGAGTGTATGTAAGAAGAAGCAGTAGTGAACTGCTTATACTATGCCTCTATGTCGATGACCTGTTGATAACAGAAAGTTGCAAGAAGGAGGTTGAAGACTTCAAATATAACTTGAGTGAGGAGTTTGAAATTTCAGACTTGGGAAATCTCTCATATTTCCTTGGCATCGAATTCTACAAGAATATTAGAGGGTTAATGATGCACCAAAGAAGATATGCAGGTGAAATACTCAAGAGATTTTAGATGCAAGATTGCAACCCAACTTCGACTAAAACAGAGACCAGATTGTAACTATCGAAGGATTCAGTTGAAGATGATGTCGACCCAACCCAATATAGAAGACTTATTGGGCCCATAGGATTGCGATAATCCTAGTTCGGCCAACCACAGGGTCACTTTGATACCTTTGTCACACAAGGCCTGACTTAACATACAATGTAGGTATGGTAAGTAGATTCATGCAGAAGTCAAAGGTATCACACCTAGCAGCGGCAAAGAGGATACTGAGGTATCTGAAAGGGACTCTCGGCTATGGCATTTTGTTTCCTGCAGCCGATGAAGGAAAAGAATGCAAGTTAGTGGGATACACCGACTCTAGTTGGTGTAGTGATGCTAAGGATAGAAAATCCACAACTGGCTATGTGTTTATGTTAGGTGGTGCACCAGTTGCTTGGAGTTCGAGAAAGGAGCCAGTAGTGACATTGTCATCATACAAAGCAGAATATATAGTTGCTTCTCTTTGTGCATGTCAAGCAACCTGGATGGTGAACCTGGTCGAAGAGATCACAACGAAGAGTCATGGAGCAGTTATCATGAAGATCGACAACATGTCAGCTGTCAACTTGGCGAATAATCCAATAACACACGGTCGAAGCAAACACATCGAAAAGAGATTCCATTATCTTCGAGAGCAGGTAGCAGAAGGGAAGATGAATTTGGAACACTGCAGAACTGAGAATCCGATTGCAGACATCATGACGAAGGGAGTGATAGTTGAAATGTTCAAAAGGCTAAGTCTATGAAGAATGTAGATAGCTTAGACACAATAGATTAAGTGTTGTGTTGAGTTTGTAATTCCTTGTGTCGAAGTAGTAAGAATTTGTCAAATTAGCCTAATGTGTTAATGTGTCGAGTTGCTTAGAATATCGAAGTGTCGAAGCAGGTTGCTTCACACATGATTTCGACTTAGGCCTATTTTAGTAATGTTAGCTATTTTGGACTTTCGTAGTTTTGCGTTTTGACTTAGGCTGCAAGTAAACCTAAATCTATAAATAGGGAGAAACCCTTATTTTGTAAACAATTCATCATTTTTTGTAATTCACAGTTAGCAGAATTTCCACAGATTGTGAGCAAAGAGTTCTCTGCAGAAAATTGTTCATCTTCTTCTTCTCCAACATTTACTTACTTACTTACTTTCTTTTTTTCTAAACTTTTCTTTCATTGTCATTATGTGAGTGAGAACAATCTTGAGATCAAGATTGATTGAGTGAAATTCTCCATAGGTTGTGGTTGAATTTCCAACAGCTATTTCAAATAACTTTTCATAAAAATCATTTTTGAAATACAACTTTTTCTTAAAATTGTGATTTCGACTATATTATGATTTTCAATAATGTATGTTTATGTTGTACGATGTCAAAATTAGCCTTGCAATTTAGAAAAAAGAAATATAAAAAAACTTATAATATTTTGAAAAACAGTTTAACAAAATCCATTTTTAAAAATATAAAGAAAAAATCTATTTTTTTAAAATTAAAATAAACGGGCCCTAATTCTACTTTCAAAATTGATTCTAATTAGAATATGTAATTTTTATCTTCAAAATTAACTTTAAATAATTTTTACATTAAAATTTATTATTTAACTCACTTTTACAGAAATGCATTCAAACATAAATCAATTGCGTTAAAATTTAAAATCAATTATACCAAAATTAATTTTTAAAATGAATGAGTATATGGCATAGGAAAAAGAAATTACCAATCTAATTAAAGATAAAAAGTAAAAGTTTCAAATCCCTATAAAATTTGCCCGTTTGAATTTTGACCAAAGTAAAATTAGTAACACTTCCTCTCAAAAAGGTCCCACAAAAACATCTGTCATTTCAAATTTTCAAATTTCAATTTCATTTTCATTTTCATTTCAAAGAAACTCCCAAATCTCAATTTCAAATTAATTAAATAAATACCAATCTCTTTCACTTTCTACCATTTCTCACATCACAACAAACAAACCCTAATTCCCAAACTCTCCCTCTTTCTCTTCCAATTTCACTTTCTCTCCAACCGAAAATGCGTGAGATTCTTCACATCCAAGGTGGCCAGTGTGGTAACCAAATCGGTGCCAAATTCTGGGAAGTTGTGTGCGCTGAGCATGGAATTGATCCAACTGGAAGATACGGCGGTGACTCCGAACTTCAACTAGAGAGAATCAATGTTTACTACAACGAAGCTAGTTGCGGCCGGTTTGTTCCTAGAGCGGTTCTCATGGATCTTGAACCGGGTACCATGGACAGTGTCCGGTCTGGACCGTATGGTCAGATCTTTAGACCGGATAACTTTGTGTTTGGTCAGAGTGGTGCTGGGAATAACTGGGCTAAAGGTCATTATACTGAAGGCGCTGAGCTTATTGATTCTGTTCTTGATGTTGTTCGTAAAGAAGCTGAGAACTGTGATTGCTTGCAAGGTATGGTTTTTCAATTTGTTTAGAAATTTAGTATTTTTTTTTATTGTTTAATTGATGGGTTTACTAGTGTTTATTTGTTTCCTTAGAAGAAATGAAGTTGTTGCTAATTGTGGGTTTTTTTCTTTTTTTGTTGCCTTTTATGAAATGAGATCTAAGGAAAGTTGGAAACTTTTGTCTCTTGTTATTTACTATCATGACTGTAATATGGTTAGCATAATTTTTTTTTGAATTCAGGATTTAGGGTTCATAATTTGTGTTTTTTTTATGCAAGGGTTAAGTGGCTGATTATGAAATGGGTTTGGTGTGTTTTATCCTTGTGTGCAGGTTTTCAAGTGTGTCATTCACTTGGTGGAGGAACTGGATCTGGAATGGGTACCCTTTTGATTTCAAAGATAAGGGAAGAATACCCTGATAGGATGATGCTTACTTTCTCAGTTTTTCCTTCTCCTAAGGTTTCTGACACGGTGGTGGAACCCTACAACGCTACTCTCTCGGTACACCAGCTTGTTGAAAATGCTGATGAATGTATGGTTCTTGATAATGAAGCTTTGTATGATATTTGCTTCCGTACCCTTAAGCTCACAACCCCAAGCTGTAAGCTGTTTTGAAACTCGGTTTTTAATCAATATATGTTTTCAATTTTGTTGTATCTGGTCGAAAAGGTTTCTAATTTTGGTGTTTGGTTTTTGTGATGCAGTTGGTGATCTTAACCATTTGATATCAGCTACCATGTCTGGTGTCACATGTTGTTTGAGGTTCCCTGGTCAGCTTAACTCTGATCTCCGAAAGCTAGCTGTGAATCTGATTCCATTCCCTCGTCTCCACTTTTTCATGTTGGGATTTGCACCTTTGACTTCAAGAGGCTCTCAGCAGTACAGGGCTTTGAGTGTACCCGAACTCACACAGCAAATGTGGGATGCCAAGAACATGATGTGTGCGGCCGACCCCAGACACGGACGATACCTAACTGCATCAGCCATCTTCAGAGGCAAAATGAGCACTAAAGAAGTTGATGAACAAATGATCAATGTTCAAAACAAGAACTCATCCTACTTTGTGGAATGGATTCCAAACAATGTGAAGTCCACAGTTTGTGACATTCCCCCAACTGGTTTGAAGATGGCTTCAACATTCATTGGAAACTCTACATCCATTCAGGAAATGTTCCGTAGGGTGAGTGAACAATTCACTGCTATGTTTAGGAGAAAGGCTTTCTTGCATTGGTACACCGGTGAAGGTATGGACGAAATGGAATTCACAGAGGCTGAAAGTAACATGAACGATCTTGTGTCAGAATATCAACAGTATCAAGATGCTACTGCTGAGGATGATGAGTATGGAGAGGAAGAAGACTATCCTCCGGAACATGATGAGGATGACATATGAGAACTTTGATGCTGTGTGGTGGATGATATGTTAGATGGATAACATATTATGCTGCAACATCCTGTTGCCGGTTCATAATCTCTTTGTTATAAGGGCGAACTTTAGCTCCGGCTTATATGTAATTGTTTGTTGTTTTTAATTCTGTGTCTATTTAACATCTTATGTTGGTATGGAAAGACAATATTAATGTTTAAACAACTGTTGTATTAGTATCAGTCTTAAATCCCCTTAACCGTTTAGACCTAAACCCCCCAAATTATTTTCAATATGGATTTCCTTTTCTTTTTAATGTCTTCCATACCTTTCTCTCTTAACTCCCAACAAATTCAAAATTTCTATCTCAAACAGTTGGTTTATAGTTCTAATTGGCAAGTCCCAAAAATGAATATCGTGTGTGGATTTTATAAATTGACAAATTTTAAAATTGAGCTTAGTAACAACATAAATTCGACTAATAAAATTTTAATTAAGCTTGTTGGAATGTTTTGTTCAATTTTTAGAGCTAAAATTATTTATAACATGTTTGGTTGTTATTGACAAATATGCATCTAAAATTGATTTTGGAGTTGTGGTAAGTGTTAACATTGCTCACATTATGTAGTGCAAAAGGGTTTTTTTTTTTTAATTCAAAATGTGTAGAAAGTGATCATCTTTCTTAACCTTGTAGCTGAGATATTTATATGCTTGCTATTGCTTACGACCTTGTTTCATTTTTCAAACTAATATTTTCCCTTAATAAGATGCATAATTTTCTCTTAGACAACCGGTGCTGCAGTTTCCTTTCCTTGCACATGCATTGACACATTTTTGTGCGCTTGGACTGAACCGAAAGATCCATATTCAAAGTGCATTGGGATAGGCCAAACGAGCTCACGTGATCGCCACTTGATGTTGCCTTTATGTTACTCCTGGGTCGGGTATGTTATGCGATGACCTCTTTGTGACAAAGGTCATTCTAGTTTGCAGTTCATCAAGCATGAGACCTGAAGGGCCGATATGGTTAAGCTAAGACGTTGTATCTCATAATCCCTTAAACACGAGAATTAGAATGACAATGTAATTTAAAAGAAACAGTTATGTTCTGTTTCCATCGAGAGTTGGAAGCGAGAGTCCCTCAGACTAGACCTAAAAGGAAGATCTATAAGAGTGAGTTTCTCAAGCGAGGTATGGAAGAACGAGTCCCTCATGAGAAATCTAAAAGGCGTATAACTTTTGGATTCTCTAGGGCATGTGATTCATTGAATAGATAATGAAGGCTATTGATGCTTTGCTCCTACACCAATATGTGTAACTCTATTGTGTGGTAATGATGGCCTATACGACCTAAGGGCTTAACAACTCTATAAATAGATATGAAATGATTTTCTTTCTTCCATTGTCCTCTTATGAGTTTGTCTTATGCATTCCTCAAGAAATTTCCATCTATAACCCCTTTTCTAAGTCATCTTTTGTCTTTGTTTGAATAAAAATGACAATTATTATAGAGTTAAATGAAAATTATTTTGTAATATACCTAGAACTTATGAAGGGTTTGAGAGATGTGGAAGTATTGTGTAAAGAATGAAAAATGGTCGATTGAGAAGGTTATTTAGAAGTTATTTTTAAAGATGACCCTATATGGAGATGGTTTAGGAGTTATTAGTTATACCATATTTATTGGACTTGAAATATGAATTGTACAATCGTATTCTAATGACTAAAGATGTACCTAATGTATGAATGCGACAAATTCTTAATTATAGGAAACCTGAGTCAACATCAAGGATTTGATTGAATGCATATTTAAAAATTTTACAAGGTTGATTTATACAATTTATTATACTTCTCTCTAATTCTATATATTTGAGATCATTATTCTATTTAATACAAAGTTATCAGATTATTATAATATTTAATACAAAGTTATTACAAGGTTATTTATAATACATCGACCCTTTTTTAATAGTGTGAATAAATTATAATCAATTATACGTGACATTAGAAACTTATCTGACCTGCTCAGAAGGGGATTACTGGTTGACCACACTCTGCTGGACTGCTGCCTGTTCACCGGTGTTAAAGAGGAGGAGGGGGTGTACCTGTAAGACACTCTGATGCCAAAGTAAGTGTTTGAACAGAGCGACAACAAATACAGAAAAGGGGTAAGAAGAGAATACTTGACCCTCTTGTGAAATAGGGTATTTATAGAGAGACCCCAGCACAGGGAAAACGGTCATTTGAGTTGGACCGGATGGCCAGGCACAACCCAAGTGACTGCTAGGGCTTACGTGGCATAGTGAAGACCAGAACGTGGTCTTCGCCCTAGTTCAACTGTCCCGTGATCTCCGGAAGGTGGGCTTGACCTGCTCTTTCGGAGGTGGACAGTTGGTTGGTGACGTGTCCCCGCGGAGGGGAGCACGTGGAGAACGTGTGAAGGACACGTTGTTCTGCTCGACAAGGGAGAAGGTTCTTCCCGCAGAGGGACATTGCCTGCCCGGCGGAGACTCTGTGCTCGACGGTTGTGGCCCAAGCTGGATTGGATTTGGCAGAATATCATTGGGCTGGGCCTGCCCGGTAAAGCCGGGGCCCAGGCCAGAACAGAAACAATTAAAATTTAAGTAAAATGATATTAATAATTTTTTAATTATGATAAATTGACGGTGTAAATTTTTTTATATGATATAAAAAATACAATTTTTATTGGATTGCATAGTTTGCAATTTTTTTTTATTGTTTTTAGAGAAAAAGAAAAGCATGATTTTCTTATATAGTAAAATAATACCATTCTTATTGGATTGCAATTTTCTTTATTGTTTTTAGAGAGAGAAAAAAGCATGAAAACATATGGTCCCGTAGCTCAGTTGGTTAGAGCGTTGGTCTTATGAGCCGAAGGTCGCGGGTTCGAGCCCCGCTGGGACCATACTTTTTCCATATAATTTATTTCATGATTTTTGTTGTCTTGAAATCTACATTAAGGGTATTTTTCCATATAATTTATTTCATGATTTTTGTTGTCTTGAAATCTACATTAAGGGTATGTTTGCTTCAATTGAGGGGAGGGGAGGAATTTTTATCAAAGGGAGGGGAGGTGAGGGGAAGGGAGGGATTTTAATTACGTATATGTTTGGTTCAAAATATAAAAGGGGAGGGAAGGGGAGGAATTTTATTTACAAATATGTTTGGTTCACAAGGGGAGGGGAGGTATTTTAAGACTAATATACTTTTGTATTCTTGTAATTTTACCATAAAACTCATGATATTTACCGTTTATAATTCAAGTGCAAATTCATTGACGATTCAATCAGAAAACATCATGAAAGATTTTATTAAAATATAAGAATTATGATATATAATTTTAAAAAGATTATCAAATATAATAAAATCTAACAAATATTATTATAAAGAAAAATATTAGGATAATTAAAAACTAACTTAAAGTATAAAAAATAAAATAAAAAAATTTAAACACATATAATGATAATAAGATGAACATATAAAAAATACAAAGAAATATAAAAAGAAGATAATTCAAAATAGAAATTTTAACATTTTAATAAATTAAATTGATATTTAAATAAATAATTAAGGATAAATATGTAAATATAATTATAATTAAAATGAAATATCTCCCCTCCCCTCCAAATCCCTCCAAATTGGAGGGAAACAAAAAATGGTTCAGGAGGGATTTTGGTCCCCTCCATCTACCTCCCCTCCCCCTCTTAAAATTTGAACCAAACACATAAACTATTAAATATTTCCTCCCCTCCCCTCCCCTCCCCTCCATTTACCCCCAACCAAACAGACCCTAAGAGCATTTATGTTTTATTTTATAGTTTAACTTATAAAAATTCGTCATCTAGACTTATTTTAGTCATCAACTCATAATTATACAATACACAATCTCTATCAACAACCTAACACATTAGGTATAATAGACCAATACACATTAGGTATAATAGACCAATAAACCGGATGCGACAAAACATGCAATACCGTTATTCACCATTTTTATGATGAAAAAAAGTTGTGGTTAGTTCTGATCAAAATCGCGAAAACCTTGCCTATAACTTCAATTTCAACATTTGTCCTAAGAAGCAATCACTATTGAATCAAGTTGAATTTCAAACTCAATTTGACAAACAATAGACAATGTAACAAAAAAACATAGATTAGGAATCATCATAACACCAGATCAAAACCTATTAAGTACAAGAAACACTAAATTTACAAACACCAAGATAATTCTCTTCTCACAAGAACATCTTACTTATTAGCATCTCCAATGGTTTTACTATCTACAACAATCTTAACTTTCCTATAATCACCATCCAAACCTTGCATAACACATCCTTCTGGAACCACTGCTCCACCGCGTTTATTGCCAAAGATTGTCCACAAATAAAGCACAGTGAATGTTGTCAAAGCTCCACAACCAGTACCAAATATCATTGTAGCAAGAACTCTTAAAAAACAATCACTCTTCCCCTTTTCCTTTGATTCAACAACCATTGGATTCTCACTGTTTTTCACAAAAACCATAGGATCAAATGGCTCTGAATAATAGGTAGAATTTGGAGTCGCGGCGCAGGCCCTGCTCCATTAGGTAACACTTCATCTCGTCTGACGTCGTCACCTGCACCGCCTCCTGTGTGAATCTTTCGATGTACTTTCGGAGAGGCTCGTCGGGAGCTTGGATTATAGCGCCATGAGCGGCTTCCGTCTTCGGATGGCGTCGGGATGCTGTGAAGTGTTTCGAAAACAGGTCCTTCAGAACCCTCCACGACGTAATCGATTCGGGCTCCAGACGTTTGTACCACGTCATGGCACCCTTCCTTAGCATCGTCGGGAACAGTCTGCATTTGATAGCTTCTCGAACATTTCGGTAGTCGAGCATTGCCTCGATGTCTTCCAGGTGATCGTCTGGGTCAGAGGGGCCGTCGTATGTCGAGAGCGTCGGGGGCTTCTCCATCCCGTGGGGTATGGGGGCGACCATGATTTCCCGGGATAGAGGAGTCCTGTAGTCGTCTTCGTCGTTGAGAATGAGTGACCGAGGGGGAGACGAGCCATTTGGTGGAGGCACCTAGTTCCGGCCCCTCGGCCTCCTGACCAGGGGTTCGACGCGCGAAAGCATGGTCGGGGGCTCTGCTCTATTTTTCCGTCTCTCACGAACTGTCTCGTTGGGGATCTGGTCCGCTCCCGCACTACTTCGGTTCGGGGCCGTCGCTCTCTGGGACGAGGCGAAGGGCTCCTCGAGTTCCCATCCTGGTCTTCCTGCGGAGGGGACCTTGGCGGAACCTCGCGCTATAGCGCGCCAATCCGTGCGTTCTGTTGAAACAGCAGCTGGTTCGTCTGGTTGATGGCCGCGAAGAGGGCGGCCACTGTTGGGTCCGCTCCGGCCAGGACAGGAACAGGTTGGAACGCTGCTGGACTTCGGGGCCGGGGGACAACCTGGTGTGTCGGTTCCGCGGACGACGGAGACGCAGTCTGGCCGTCTCTCTCGTCGGTCTTCGCTGGGCAGGACGTCTCCGTTGGCTTGTTGCCGTTCGCGGCAAGGTTGAGGATGAAGTCGGCAACGGTATCGTCGTGGTGTGGGCTAGCCATGATCGTGGAGTGTTGGTGAAACTTTGGTTTTCTGCTCGGAGTAACGGGGAAGTTTCTGTTCCCACAGATGGCGCCACTGATCTGACCTGATTAGAATGGGATCACTAGTTGGCCACACTCTGTTGGACTACTGCCTGTTCACCGGTGATGAGGAGGAGGAGGGGGTGTACCTGCAAGGCACTCCGATGTCAAAATAAGTATATGGGCAGAGTGGTCACAAGCACAAAAAAGGGGGTAAAAAGTAAACTACTTGACCCTCTTGTGGAAGAGGGTATTTATAGAGAGACTCCAGCGCTGGGTCAACGGTCACTTGTGTTGGGCTGGATCGCCATGCCCAACCCAAATGACTGCTAGGGCTTACGTGGCGTGGTGAAGACCAGGACGTGGTCTTCGCCCTAGTTCAACTGCTCCGTGAACTCCGGAAAATGGATTGACCTGCTCTTTCGGAGGTGGGCAGTTGGTGGATGACGTGTCCCCGCGGAGGGGAGCACGTGGAGAACGTGTGAAGGACACGTTGTCCTTCCCGACAAGGTGCGGGTTCTGCCCGCGGGGGGCAGGTCTTTTCCGCGGAGGGCAGTGTTTGACCGACGGGGAGTCTCCTGCCCGACGTAGTTGGGGCAGGTCCTTCTCGCGGGGAGACCTTTCCTGCTCGTCGGGGACCCTGTGCCCGACGTTGTGGCCCAAGCTGGACTGGGCTTGGTGGAATATTATTGGGCTGGGCCCGCGTGGCCAGGCCGGGGCCCATGCCAAAACAAAAACCAACCACATATACAAAATAAATTTAATAAATAATAATTGTTTCATTCTCAATTTAAAAATTTAACAATTTTTTATCATCCTTATCTTTAACTTCCTAAACAATTATCTCTCTTTCACTTGCAAGTTATTTTTCTCTCTCTTATGAATTGTTAATTTCATCTAAATTCTCTTTCACATGCAATTTTGTCTTTCTATCCATTATTATTGAATCTTTGAATTGTGTGAATTGTGTATAATGTCAATGTGTCTTTGTGATTACCTACAATATACATATTAAAAAAGGTTTTGTAGAAAGTTAGAGTTGTTACAAACCATTGTATATCACTGCATATTTTACCAATTATCAAGTCATTTACTATACCGCCATTCAACTCCTCAGATATACAAACTTGAACTATATGTATTTAATTTTTTATTTATCAATGCTTCAGAAAATAATTGATCATTTTTAAAATATAAAAAAAAAATATGATACTTAATTATATTGTGTAAGTTGTTATTGAGATTAATCTATAATTTTGTCATCTATAAGACTCACATTCACAAATAAAATTACAATAATGGTAAATACAGGCTTTAGAGTTTTCTTTTTGTATAATGTTAAGTCTAAGGCTATGAATGATATTAAGGGTTGAATACCGTTTAAAGATTGAATGTATTAGTGTTTATGTTTTCATCATGATTTTTTGTTTAATGATAACCAGTTATTAGCTACTTAATAAAACAAAGAAAGAGGAACAAATAAATGCCATGTGCAAATGAGATTGTGATATATAGAGGTAGAGAGACTGATGAGTGATATAAAAAAAGAGTTAGAGAGAGACGAAGAGAAAATGAGAAAAAGAGAGAGAGGAAACATATATTAGTGGCAACATCCACATATAAGTTATATGAAAGGGGTAAGTTACAAAAATAAATAACAACTAACACATTATTTTCTTTTTTAAATATGCCTTTTTTTATTGAACAGAACATCGAGCATGAAAAATAATAATAAAATTATTAATGTTCTTTATTGTAAAATATGTGAATATTTTATTTTTGTTATTTTATATCCATTTATAATTTGTATGATTTCTACATTGTGATATTATTAAAATTTTAAGACATTAAACAATATACATTGGTTGTCTTCTTACTTTTATTTTTTTTAATTATGTAAATAATATTATTTTATGTAACATTTAATTTATTGATAAGTTTTAATTTTCACATTCTACTCTTTAGATTATTAAGTTAATTTTACGTTGACATTTGCATTGTTAAATTGGTCTGAAGATATTTTTTTAGTATTAAATTGGTCTGAAGACATTACTACAACATATTAAAGTTAATATGTATCATTATGTTTTTATTGTTGCTAAGTAGTATTATTTTTAATTGAATATATATCAAAAACACCATTAAAAAAATTGCACGTGTTAGCGCAATAAAAAAAGCGGACAAACCGATTCTCCTTGAACGTTAGTGTCATATAAAGAAATATCTATTATGAGCTATACATCCTCCTTTCCATCTCTTTATATTCTACTCATTTTTCTTTTGGTTGAATGGTGTATCAAACATAACCTAAAAAACCAATATCTATTATGAGCCATTTGATCTAGACTTATTTTAGTCATCAACTCATAATTATACAATACACAATCTCTATCAACAACCTAACACATTAGGTATAATAGACCAATAAACCGGATGCGACAAAACATGCAATACCGTTATTCACCATTTTTATGATGAAAAAAAGTTGTAGTTAGTTCTGATCAAAATCGCGAAAACCTTACCTATAACTTCAATTTCAACATTTGTCCTAAGATGCAATCACTATTGAATCAAGTTGAATTTCAAACTCAATTTGACAAACAATAGACAATGTAACAAAAAAACATAGATTAGGAATCATCATAACAACAGATCAAAACCTATTAAGTACAAGAAACACTAAATTTACAAACACCAAGATAATTCTCTTCTCACAAGAACATCTTACTTATTAGCATCTCCAATGGTTTTACTATCTACAACAATCTTAACTTTCCTATAATCACCATCCAAACCTTGCATAACACATCCTTCTGGAACTACTGCTCCACCGCGTTTATTGCCAAAGATTGTCCACAAATAAAGCACAGTGAATGCTGTCAAAGCTCCACAACCAGTACCAAATATCATTGCAGCAAGAACTCTTAAAAAACAATCACTCTTCCCCTTTTCCTTTGATTCAACAACCATTGGATTCTCACTGTTTTTCACAAAAACCTTAGGATCAAGTGGCTCTGAATGCATAGAATGTGGTGGAAAATGTCTCACAACAAAGCTCCATGAGTACAAAAAAGCATCATTCTCTTTCACAGGACTAAAACCTACAAACATTTCTTCCTCCTTCAACACATTAGATACTTCAATTTTGTCCCATAACAATGGATCAAATGGCTTTGAATTCCCATTTTTACTCAACCTCACTTCTAATCTCATTGAACTTGCTTCATAATCAATCCAAGTATGCATCTTTTCACCACTTCTTAGTGCCAAATTTGTTAAGTAGATTTTACTTGAATCACCATTTCTAATCAAAATCTCATTTTTACCATCCCTTGAAACACTAAACTCAACACCAATAACTTCAAAATCTTTATTTTTCAATCCAAGAGAAAACCCAGATGAGGTTTGATTAAAAACACCACCTTTAACACTATTTGGAATCAAAACAAAAGCTAAACCACCCCCACTTTCCAATCTACTTTCCAATGAGATTGAAAATGTAAAATAAGTTGAAAATGAAACTAATTGCTTAGGTTTACCTTGAAAAAGCTTGATGGGTTTCTTGTAAATCACTCTCCCAGTCTCAGCACCAGAACTCCCTGAACCAGAGAGCTGAATCTTGGACTCACCATTGACAACCTTTGCATTACCAAAAAGGGCAACACTAGACTTAAATTTCAGATCTTTTTCAAAATCAACAAAGGAAAACAATGGAATTGGGTCAAAAGATAGGATTTTTATGAATAAACTGATGAAAATGAAGGATCTGAAGTAATGGGTTGTGGTGAATGATGGCATAGTTAAGAGATGGGTGGTTTATGATTCTAGGGTTAGATGGTGGATTTTGATTCCATTTGAAGCATAAAGGTTGAAACTTTGTGATGAGAGGAAGAAAAGGAAAGAAAGAGTGTTGGGAAAGTTGGATTGGAGGGTGTGAAAATTAAATGGATTTTGTTGTATAGTGGAACATGGTAGTGGTGGTTCACTTTTTTTGCAGTGGCAGATGACCAGGGGAATATATTAATAATGGAGAATAATAATATTTATTTATTTGTTTTTGTAGATTCCTTTGTGGGAACTTTCAATCTCTCCTTAAAAAAAAAATCTATTTTATCAAAATTTATAATATTACCTATTGGTTGATTTCAAAATTATTAATGGATGGACATTAAAAAATACTAGCTTAAAAATAATGCATATTTAGATTATATAATTATAAAAATATTTAATATTATATTTAAAATTTAAAATTATTATTTATTCTTTTTTTAAAAAATTATAGATTTATAAATATTAGTTATTGATGTCAAAAATTGAATCTTAGATCAATATTTAAATTTATTTAACTACACTAACACATTTTAATTTAGATATTAATTCACACATTAGAAACATTAAAAATATTTTAAGAACGACTTTTAATATGTGTAACAATTCGTTCTTTTGTATTAAAATATAAATATTCTTTTAAACTAAAATTAGGAATAATCACGAAGAGTGAGTTAATCTATTTAAATGTTTCAAACTTTTTTATGCAATGGAGAGAAAGATGATTCGTAAAATTAATACTCTAACGCTTAAATTAGTAAAAATATAAAAAATGAAATGTGAATGGATTTTTTTTTTGATATATGTAAAGTGTCACACTTTCTTTATAAATAAGAAAAATAGTTTATACTACACATGTGTAAAACGATGAGAAATAATTACATTAATTTGAAGTTTTAACATGAGATTTTTTTTTTGTAAGAGATCATCTGCGACACAAAGAAAAAAGAGTTTATCATCGCATTCAACAATTTTATTTTTTCTTAATTATATCTTCATTTTCTGAATTTTGTGGATGATCAAGACAAAAATTAAAAAAATTATATATAATTAATGTGTTTATTTTATATGTATATATTTAATTTTAATATTTTATATCTAAAACAATTAGCATTATTAATTTAAAAATATATTTAAAAGATAAACAATAAATATATCTAATATTTTAAAATATATATATAAACAAATGCGAGTAGATAGATTATTATGAAAAATGAGGAAGAGGGAGTAAAAGTTTCATGTAAACTTTTATCTTTTTAAGATTTGGGGTCAACATGGTCCACTCAATTTATTGTGAACCATCTAATTTTAGGATTCGTGTGAATGAACTTTCTGAAGTTCTTTTTTAAATTCAATAATAATATTTAACCATTCAAATTTAATAATAAAAACTTCGTTTTATTATTTATTTATTTATCTATAATAATTTATTGATTTGCAACATATTATTTTAATGTTTCATACATGTAAACAACATAACAGGTAATAAAAAGTATTTGTAAACAAATTTTTTCAATATAAATATATAAGTATTCTATGTACATTTATTTTATATTATTCTCTCAGTTTATATATATATATATATATATATATATATATATATATATATATATATATATATATATATATATATATATATATATATATATATATATATATATATATATATATATATATATATATATATATATATATATATATATATATATATATATATATATATATATATATATATATATATATATATATATATATATATATATATATAATCAATAATTTTTTCTTTAAGTCAATTTTGTTTCTATAAGATCATTGATGTCACTTACTAACCATTCATAGATACAGTGTTCTCAAAGCAAATAAGACACGACTTGGAGGTTTACATTAATGACATGATCGTGTAGACATCAGAAGGAGGAAACCATGCAACTGACTTAGAAGATATTCTGGGATTATGAGTAACAAAATGGGTCTGACCTATTAAGCATATATGTTGTTCCAACACTTTTTTTATAAGACGGCCCAAGATTTTAGGCATGCACTCTCTAATGTGTTTGCCCCACACCTTTTGTTTTCGCGGGCATGAGAATTAACATAGTTTTTTTTTTTTTTTTTTTTTTTGCATTTTTAGATTTAAAAATTGCAGTGCCGGCGGGCCCGCCTGCCCTGCTTTCATTTTTTTGCGAGGCAGACCAAAATTTTAGGCCTGCACCTCACCTGCCCCATTTTTTGCGGGGAAAGCCTAAATTGGATGAATATGGATGTTTGTCAGATCTACCTGGGATAAGTCATAAATTACAACATGCGTCTTAATTCAACCAAGTGCTTATTCGACGTATAGATGAGAAATTTCCTAAGTTTCATGCTCACCAAGCGAGGCATATAGGGGAATCCATATAAATGTTAAGCTATCATAGACATGAGAAGCCCCCTGCCCCCCCCCCCCCCCCCCCCCCAATATCAAGGAGGTTCAACAATTAATTGGACGGTTAGTCGCCCTCTCTCGTGTTCTTTCTTATGCAGGTGACAAGATTTTCCACTTCTTCGCCACGTTGAAGAGAAATGAGAGGTTTGAATGGACTGAAGAATGTGAGTAAGAATTTTTAAAGTTGAAGGCGTTCATAGCGTCACCGCCCATTCTGACATGTCCAATAACATGTTCTCTGTTATATATCTACTTATTTGTTATTGACCAGACATTAAGCTCAGTACTTGTTCAAGAAACGGATAAGGTATAACGACCTATCTATTTCGTAAGCAAAGTCTTCAAGGGCACCGAGGTCTGCTATCAAAAGATAGAAAGGCTCCCATTTATGGTAATGGTGACCGCAAGAAAGCTTAGGCCTTATTTTCAAGGACATCGAATATTGGTAAAAGAGATTATCCCGTACGCCAAATCCTTAAAAAGCTTGACCTAGCCAAAAGATTGGTATTTTGGACAGTTAAATCATCTGAATACAACATCCAGTATATTTTCAGAGACAACATCAAATCACAAGTCTTGACAGATATTTTGGCTGAGTTTGACACATCCATCGACGAGGAGGTTTTCTCCACCTAGATCCTCTTAGTGGACAGACTCTCTAACGTCAAAGGCCAACTCTGAATTTGGCGCTAGAAGGACCATACAATTTATTAATTAACAAGTCACTGGAGTTTAAATTTAAGACTATTAACAATTAGGCAGAATATGAAACACTCATTATCTGCCTGACGATCGCCTTAGAAATTGTGAAACCTATAGTTCAGTTAGTTTAGCCAAACAATATGGGTGAACAACTTGCTATGGAAATGTTTAACTTTATAATAATCCATACATTACATTTAAAAAAGTCTAATACCCTTTTTAGTCCCTTGCCTATACCTCTGAGTCCATTTTGGTCATCTTTCTTTTAAAACGTTCAATTTGGTCTCTTACGCTGTCAAACAGAATTAAACAAGTCCTTTCTGTCAAATAATGATAAACGACGTTGAACAGAAAAGACGTGGCAGCTGAGGTGACATATACTTGTACGTGTGACATCTCAGCTGCCACGTCTTTTCTGTATAACGTCATTTATTATTATTTAACATAAAGGATTTGTTTAATTCTGTTTACAACATAAAGAACCGAATTGAACATTTTAAAAGAAAGAGAACTAAAATGAGTTTAAAAATATAGATAAAGAACTAAAAAAAGATATTAAGAAAACAAATTATTGTTAACTTTGTATCTTACAAACTCTTGCTTTTGTCATAATTCTTAAACTAAAAAAAAGTATAAATATTTATTTTTATACTTTTTTAGTCAATTTATTTTGAATTTTAAGTATGAAAATGATTTGCAGGTTGACAAATGACAATACAATAATAACATGGTGTAGAGATGATAGGGATTCCACTTTTGAAGTATCACCCTCACCACATACACCACTCCATCACTCACTTTTTTTTCAAACACAACTGAACAGATGAGAACATGCTTTTCTTCCTCATATATTTTTATGTTGTTTTTTTTCTTCTTTCAATTATTTATATACAATGTAGGTTTCTGAGTTTATCTTTGAATTGAAAGGACTTCAAAAGTTCAATAAAAACAAACATCATCATCATTATTATTATTATTATTATTATTATTATTATTATTATTATTATTATTATTATTATTATTATTATTATTATTATTATTATTATTATTATTATTATTATTATTATTATTATTATTATTATTATTATTATTATTATTATTATTATTATTATTATTATTATTATTATTATTATTATTATTATTATTATTATTATTATTATTATTATTATTATTATTATTATTATTATTATTATTATTATTATTATTATTATTATTATTATTATTATTATTATTATTATTATTATTATTATTATTATTATTATTATTATTATTATTATTATTGTTATTGTTATTGTTATTGTTATTGTTATTGTTATTGTTATTGTTATTGTTATTGTTATTGTTATTGTTATTGTTATTGTTATTGTTATTGTTATTGTTATTGTTATTGTTATTGTTATTGTTATTGTTATTGTTATTGTTATTGTTATTGTTATTGTTATTGTTATTGTTATTGTTATTGTTATTGTTATTGTTATTGTTATTGTTATTATTATTATTATTATTATTATTATTATTATTATTATTATTATTATTATTATTATTATTATTATTATTATTATTATTATTATTATTATTATTATTATTATTATTATTATTATTATTATTATTATTATTATTATTATTATTATTATTATTATTATTATTATTATTATTATTATTATTATTATTATTATTATTATTATTATTATTATTATTATTATTATTATTATTATTATTATTATTATTATTATTATTATTATTATTATTATTATTATTATTATTATTATTATTATTATTATTATTATTATTATTATTATTATTATTATTATTATTATTATTATTATTATTATTATTATTATTA